GGGAGATTCTAGGGAGTGGCTATCCTGAACCTCTTATGCTTCCCACGCTCCCCCTGAGGACTGTGTTGTCTTTTGTCTCCTTTCCCTTCCTGGAATGAGCCCCCTCCCTCCTGATAGCCTTGCTCTCTGTTGCTATCCCCCACAAAAGTGAAGTTGGCATTTGTAAGGATCCAGCATGTACTCATGAGTTATAGCTTATAAACCATAGTCTGCATCCTAAGGTATTGGAGTGGAAACCTGTGATCTTTCAAATGTTTCTGAACGGATCCCAGCGTTACTATCAGCTGGGCTGATGGAAGCTGGGGTCTACAATATAACGACAGCCAGCCATTTACGTCTGTTGCCTCTGTTCGACGCTCACATATACTTTCCTCAATTATCTAAGCCTGAGTTGAGATGTAACTTCCTTTGTTACTGTCAGTTCTAACCACACACAGAGGCAGGAACCACAAATGCCAATTTCACTGTGCCCTCCTCAGGTTACAGACTGCTAATCATACCCCAAATAAACAGCCAAATTGTAGCTTTACTCACTGAGCTTTTCCCTCCTTACACAAAGTGACTTTTTCTCCATTTTCACCAAGTGTCAGCTAGATAAAGAATGATGCTAAGTAGATGTGATAGGCTGCACTTTCCACATTAGATAACCTGTCCTTCTGAAGCTAACCTACAACTAGAAACACTGGAATGAGAGTGTCATTTGGGGGCAGTTCACCACCTCTCCCCATGTAGATGTGGGGCACTACACTGAGTACTGCCAGTTCCAATGGCTGGAATGACATTCTGAAGGTTCTACAGATCTGGCAAGGAGGGGATTACTAGTAAATCAGCCAGGACTGCTGACTTCCAATTGTTTAACACTTTCAGCAACAACTCTTCTCTTCCCACAGCAAGATAAAAGCTTGCAACTTGAACAGTGTCATGTCCTTAATCGGTAATGCAAAATAAAAAGGACCGGCTGGCTGGCAAAAGACAATGCCACAGTGCAATAAAATGGACAAGAACACTGTTGAATTAGTTCCTTTTTAAGTACAGTAGTTGCTGCCTATAGATTGCAAAAACAAGAGGAAGGAGGATACTCTGCTACTGAACAGAGGAATAGAAATTTCTTGCAAGCTTAATCCTCTTTTCCTTCCTCAGAGAATACTGTGGGCACCTGATCCCTCTGAAAAGGAACAGCTCAGGAGTCCATTTCTCCTTTTCCCTCCTTTCCAGAAAAAAATCTGCTCTGCAGTGGCCAAGTGACTGCAGAAGCAACAGGAAGAACACTCAAATTTGATTCTAAAAAGGTGCTTAAGAGCATGTGAGGACACAAATGGAGCACCTGTCTGCAACTCTTTAAAGCAGCTGCATCTTTTATTGGAGTCACATGGTATCCACTCTTTAGAGCAGCTGCACAATCTGGCACTTAAAAGTTACTTAATTATTTGTCCATAATTATAAACCAGCCTAGCCTGACCAACTCTGAGCATCTTAGTAATTAAAAACTATCTTCAACATAATATCAATATCAGAAAACAACAAAAAGATGCACAAAAGATTGCTTTCAGTTCTGCTCATTTATTTTCTATTACTTTCCTGTATTTTCATTAAGGCACTCAAAGCAATTTACAATCCTAAAACAAGCCACCGTTGATATAGTTTGCCCATGGTTAAGATTTCCTTATTTTAACAAGCAATTTTCTATTAGAAGGACATGTCTCAGTCTTCCACCTTCAATTAACAAAATAATACTTATTGTCAAGTTTCCTCTGGTTTGGTGGATTGTTTCTGGATTTAAGAGCACCACCAACGTGGTTGGTGATTCTAAAGGGTCCCTGACAAAGCTTGTTGTTACCCACTTAGCCTGTTTCTAGATAAAGCACTCTTACCCTTGGGATTAGGGGTAGGCAACCTGCAGCCTTGGGACTATTTATGCTCTATGGCCAGCTTCAAAAGTTTCAGTGAGTGATAAATTCAGACCTCCAGCAAAAGGGACTTCTTCCTCCCTAGCAACCTGTTGGGCAAGAAGCTCAAGGTAGAGAGAAAGAAGGGATGCATCTGTCCACTTTTAGTTCTATACTACCCACTGGTTTTGCCCCATTTACCACCAGCATGCAATCCCCCATCCCCCAGCAGTTTACCCCCAAGGGGATTCAGCCTTCAATATAAAACAAAAAACAAAATTACTTTTTCTGACCTGTGCACAGTATCTTGAGCTTGCTGCTGCCAAGCCTCATTGTGTAGAAAATAACAGATGGTATGAACATGGGTGAAAAACTCAGTGTACACTCCAAAAGCCACTGGATCCATGTGTTGTGTGCAGTCGCGGATAGAGCTACCAACTTCACAGGGTGGGAACCTCCTCCCAGACCTGTCAAGTAGAAGACAAAAACTTAGTGGTTGGGGAAAAATTATGGAGCCTAGGAAAAGAAGAAGGGGGGGGGAATCATCTTCTTCTATGAAAAGTTGGCCACACCAACAGAAGCCCCCTGCTTTGCTGTCTTCCCAAGGCAAGCAGCACAGCAGTGGTAGCTTGTGGCATTCCGTAAAACAGCACATTATTAATAGGTCTACACAGATAAAGTAAAAATAGTAACTTCTAGCTGAAATCGTTGAGATTCCTGACTTGGTGTCAGATTACTGAACCTAAATGCACTCTCAGCAGCTTCATCCAGCTGTTCCTGAAGTGTTTTAAAGCTTGTTCTCGCTGCTGCTGTATCACGACAACAATGGTTGGCTGATCCTAGAAGTATCTGCATTTTATTCCTGGCTTAAGAGTGAGATAGGATTAAACTGTCTTTAGCTGCATTGGCCTTAGGACAGCATTAGGCAGCCACAAAGTCTGTATATCATTATCATTGAACAAAGTCAGGTGACTGCAATGACTGGGAACAGTGGCAGGATAAGGACCCGCAACAGGGAAAGCAAATTTCATGCCAGTATCATTTTCTGTTGGCTCAAGAGTGGGCAGAGAACACTTCAATTTGGGGATGGAGAGAGGCCCTATGCTTTGACTTTGTTCTTCTCCATCCCTCCTGGTTCTACTTTCTTTGTCTGTACAGATAAAAAGTGATGGCAAAATGACCTCAGTAAACCTGCTTGTGCACCACTACTATAAAGCATACACCCAGAGCTGTGCCCAACCTGAAGGTCAGCTGTGATTAGTAAACGAAGCTGCAACAATAGGTGAAAGCATACCTCCCTGTCACTTTGAAGTTAAAAGGACAGGAACGCTGAGACTGGGATAGAATTTTAACTCCTTCCTCCACCCTGTGATTAAACCCAGATTCTAGACTCCTTCAGCTTATCTTCCAAGAAACTTGACTCACCGTTGTAGGTGGCAGTGAGCAAATGCTAGCGCAATACGGCTTTGTTGTTCTTCATTCAGCTCCCTGCACCCACCATCCAATTGTCCCAAGGCTCCCATCCAACAAGGACCATATCGTGGATGGCGAGCTAGTTCCTGAACCCACTGCAGGTAGCTCCTGCCTTGAGACAGAAGCCCAGGATCGGGAGAATACAAACCACAAGCAATGACGCAGGAAAAAAATAGCAACAGAGTGACTGAATGGTACCACATGGCAGTAACCACTGCAGCAAAGCAATCACTAGCCAAAATGGGTTGAAGCCAGCTGATGGAGGTTTGAGTGGAAAGTTATCCTTCCAGGGTGGAGCTCCTGAGAGATGCGGAAATGAAGGCCTGCAAATGATCATAGGAACTTGGCTAAAGGATGTGTGTTTGGCTTTACTCATAATCACATCATAGGATTTGTTTTTGATTCAGCATTTGGATCTACCATATAGCAGAACAGCCATACCATGATCAAGAGTTTTTTCTCACCTGTCTCTGGATTGTTGGCATTCTACTTTGTAAATTACAGTTAATGGCTTATGTTAGATAGCCTCTTGTGATTTAATCAATAAATAACTGCTGTGTAAGCAAAGTTACAGTAAAATCTGTGTAGTCTGGACTAGAGTTCTTATATTACACTATACTTTTTACAATATAACTAGTACTGTAGTTAAATATAGTACAACTGTATACTATATTTAACTACAGTATTAAAGAATATAGTATTTAGAACATAGAGCGCTCAGAGATATAGGGAAGGTTGCCAGTATTTTTCCTGTTCTTATGCTTTTTTAAAATGCATGCACTGATATGGAATCATAGCTTCTGTTCACACAGCACATTAAACTACAGTGGTTAAGTCAAACTCAAACCCCATTATCATATGAATCAGGCAATCATGGTATGCCATGACATTATTTGCTTTGGGTATATGTGTTGTGTGAATACAGCCAAAATGGTTTGTTAACCATGATTTATGCTTTAGCTTGTACTAATAGAACCAACAGAATATGAAAGAGTTATTAAGGATGTGTGGAAACTGCAAGTTAAAAAGTGTTTCTCACTTGTAGGTAGGTACTGAAAGTTTTTGTTTCTAAAATGAAGTTTTTCTGGAAATAATCTCTCAGCTGTAAGTTCTTTTTTCATCATCATAAAGTTACCTGTGAACTCAGTAGTGATGACATCTGAATACCTCTTGAAAGCAAGTGCCAGAGCTAAATTAATAAGTAATTTCTTTCTCCTGCTTTCAATCTTGTTCCAAAAGTGCTTTTTCTTGCCCAGTCTTCATATTTCCAAAAATATGCAAAGGACTAGAGTTTTTTAAGATTAAAGGTTATCTTCCAGAACTTGGAATATCTCATGTATTGAAGCCAAAAATGAGCGTACATTATAATTTATATGTGATATCTACATGTATTTTATTTAATTGGGAACCCTTTTCTTGTCATAATCAAAAAAAAATTATGTCATGTTTAATATTCAAGCTCAACTCTTTAAAGAAGTCCAGAAGTAAGGCTGCTCCTATCCTATCCTAGAGTTTTTCCAGCTGTGTACTGAGGAACACAGAGAGCTGTTTGGTCTAGCAGTTAAGGTGCTGGCCTAGAAACCAGGAGAGTGAGTTCTAGTCCTACCTTAGGCATGAAAGACAGCTGGGTGACTTTGGACCAGTCACCCTCTCTCAGCCGTACCTATCTCACAGGATTGTTAAAAGGTGGGATTAAAAAATCTAACAATAAAACCTAGGAGTTCCATGAGACAAAGTTTGCTTGTTTTTTTAAAGTTAACTTGAGCACAGCCAATTTTCTATCACTAGAGTTTTGCCCCTTGATCAGGGATTCCAAGTTTTTTTGTTTTTTTTTTAAAACAGGTTCCACAGTCTGAAAGTTTAAAAATCCCAGGACAGTACTATTTCAAGTCTGTTTCCTACTAGTTTCCCTAATTCAAGTGGTATTTGCTGCCCTCTAGTGGTTGTACTTTCTCATAAATTCCCTTTTCTAAAATGAACTACTGTATAGATTAGCTTTTTATTAAGATGGGCAGTGACAAATTTATATATATATATATCTCAAACAGATTAGATACTATATCCCTGTTCTTTGTTTTAGGATGGATGGATGGATGGATGGATGGATGGATGGATGGATGGATGGATGGATGGATAGATAGAACCTAAAATAAGAAAGAAGAGGGATACAGTATCTAATCTGTTTGGGTGGATTGCAAAACCTCATGGGAATTCACAAACACTACGCAGACACCTTAAAACTGGAATTCAATTTTGTGGGGATTAAGCTGTAAATTGCTTTTTTGTTCTTATAACACTAGGCAAAATGTAAGTACTGTACTGCTGAAAAATGGGGCTGTGTGCATATAGGTGACCCAATTTAGACCCATAGGTTCCACATGTCATAAGGCAGCAATCGGTATTTCTCTTGGAGTAAATGCAGTTGTAAGCCCCTCAGCCAGATTTTCTTCCAAGCACATATGCATAAGATCCAGTTATGCATGAATCTGTATGAGTCATGCATATCAAAGTCACATATTGTATGTTTTAAAAGTATGTATATATGTTTCCCTTATGTTTGCAGCATTTTTATTTCAGGTTTCCCTGAAATGGTATCCTCCAGATGTTTGCTCTACAACCCTCCTTATCTCAGCCACTGTGGCCAGCTATATGCTGGATATGAATTTTAGCCCAACACATCAAGAGGTCAGAGAAGGTGGCTATATTTTATTTGCAACTTCTAAATATTAATAAGGGTTGGCCCTGATTCACCAAACAGTCTCAGGTATATTTAACCATGATTTAATAAACCATAATTTGGCTAGATTCATATAAAATGCTAAGTTATGATTGGCTAGGTTTACATAATATGCTAAGCCAAATTAAATGTCTATTATAATCTGAGATGATAAAAGTAATGAAACTTGATCTACAGATCAATGGATTAGCACAGGATATGTTATTACATCCAAAACATGTTGAACAATTTAATCATATATGCATGGCCCTTAAACAAAACTCAATACTTTTGGTAAGCTCACCACAGTAATCTAAGAGATGGGTGGTATGGAGTTCCTTTATACTTCCTAAAAATGCTTATACATGGTAAAGAACCTTATAAAATGCACAATGTCTCAACTGACTCTGGTTTACCTAATTCATATGTTGAACAGTTAGTGCAGTTACTAAAATTCTCTGCCGATAGTGCCAAGGGTAAAACACTGAACCAAAGTAAGGAAAATGCTCTTTATATACAAGGGTGAGACTGAACACATAACCAGCCAGTATTATAATTTACTGTATTGTATAAACTAGGCCTTAGATTGGGTTTGCACTTATTAAATGTGACTTACACAATCAAAAATATAAATATGCCAGAGTTTGCTGAATATAGTTGGCTACAATCATATCATTGTCATAAGCTATGTTTTACAAACCACAAGAGTTTAATAACTCAAAATCTATGTGTGAGCTGTGTGAACCAGATTTAATACAAACATGTTTGCACACACATAACTTAATTTGAATTAAGTTTATATCAGGTGCTCTCCCTTTCCAGTTGTTGCTATACTACTATTAGGATGTGGCATGTTACAAGTATTACCATCAACTAGTGGTGGTCCTAATATTTCATGATTACATTTAATAGAAAAATCTGTTTGGACGGAAAACACCTGCAAAGTGCTGGTAATTTATTAAAGCTAAGGAAAGATAATAGAAAAAGGTTAAGATTACAGCACCTGATGTAATCTGGTTAAACAAGTTTTTGTTCTATTTCAAAAAGCTACAAAACCAGTTTGGTCAACAATAGGGTAGAGATGTGTTTGTAGTACGAGAAGTAATCTCTCACAAAACTGCCTACTGCCTTGTGTTAATTAAAAACAAAAAAAGCAAAGTTTCCTCCCATCTCTGTTACTTCAACAGACTTTATATTGTAACTGACATAATTACAATGTGTTTGGAACTGCAATCCTACATGTATTTATCTGCAAGAAAGTTGCACTAATTTCCCAAAAAACCTCACGCAGACTTGAACAATAATTTAAAACTGCCCTTCTGGACACTTCCAATACATGGCTGGTAAATCTAAAGCTATCATTTAATCTCAAGAAATAGTGATGGAAGTGAAGGTAAATTCTCCCTTTAAGTGAAACCTGATTCCTGGCGCCTTCCTAAACAGGTGTATGTAATTTCTTAACAACAGGTAAGTGGCCTGACGGTGCTTTCTTCCAAGATGTTTTTTTTTGGCTGACTTCCAGTTCTAACCTACAGCCCCGGGAGTTCCTGGTGGTCTCCCTTCCAAGCAGAACCAAGTTGGACCTTTCGAGACAGCTTCGCGCTCACATTGCGCAGGAAAGAACTTCCCCACGAGCTCCGAAACACGCCTGCGCACTCAGAAGGGCGCGAGGGCAAGAAGACAAACCTCCACAGCTAGAGGGCGTCAACGGCAACCCAGTGTATCGTCTGCTTGGAAACCAGTCTTAAGCTTTCGCGAGAATTCCGCCGAATGCCCACGAAGTTATGCGAGAAGAGGGAAAGCCCTCGTTTTCGAGGCGGTGCCCGAGACGCCTCTCCCCAGCCTAGCTTCCGTCGCTTTCCCTGAACCTCCCCAGAGCCCAACAGCTGCGAAATCTCGCTACAGCTTAAACGGGCGCTAAGCACTTCCGCAAGCCGTCATTAGCTCTCGCGAGGTTTAGCCTCACCGCCCCCCCAACGATTGGCTCAGATACGCAAGTCTCGGCATTTCGCAGCTGGCTCTACAAAGTCTCGCGGGAGTTTCTTCTAGGTGCTAAACTTCCTTTCTGCCCGCCCCTTCGGTAGAAGGCTGATTAAACTTTCAGGATTTAGTCAGGATGGGCCGCGGACAGTTTCTCGCGTGATGTAATTTTCAAAAACTCGTGAGTTTTGCAACAAGCAGAAGAAAAAAGACACCCGGAAACACCGTGACTGAAACTCGCATTTTTCCGCTGATTCTCGCGTGAACAATCTGCCTTGGTTCTCGCGGGACTTACCACGAGCAAAGCATTATTAACTAGATTGTTTATTCAGGTCGAGGAACCCCAGTGCATTATTACAATGGCCCTTCCAATATTTTGCCTGAGGAACAGAGCCCCCCGGAGGTGAACTCCATTGCAGGCTCTCACGCCGTTCCCTTCGGGTTTGTTCTCGTGGGAAGTGGTTGCCTGAGACAACGTCTCGCGAGAGTTCCGTTTCCCCATGACTTGTCTCCTTCCCCACTCCTCTAGTTCTCGTCCGATCCTCTCTTCCCTCAATTATCGCGTCTCTTCTTCGCTCCATACCCGGTGGTGAGTTCTCGCGTGATTTGGCTGGGGCTGAGGCTCAGGGACTGCTGTTAAGATGGCGGCGGCGGGAGGCAACGGGGTACGGCATTGACACCCCCTCCATTTCTTTCCCGGCGCAGGTATCTGTGCAGCGGGGGGTGGAGGGGCGCATGGGATCCGCGAAGGTGGAGACCAGCTGAGGCTGTGGCCGAAGGGAAGAGGGAAGTGGGGTGAGGAAAGGGATGTTTGCTGAGGCGGGACAATGGGCCCTGGCTTTCCCCCGGAGATGAAGGGTGGTGGTGGTGATTGAAGTCGGGAAGTGGTGGTTTTGCCTTAGCTCCTCCTTCGGATGGGAATTGGTTAGCAATTTACGAGGTACTTCGTCTCTGAGATAGGGGAAGTACTACCTCCAATCTCATTCTCTCCACATCACCCGCAAAAGGAGGCACGTGAGTCCCGGAGAGTGGTCTCGCGCTAGCCGTCTCTTCTGATAGGCTTCGGGTTTTCTCCTCTCCTTTTAGGTAAACGCGACATACTGAACCACGAACTAGCCAGCCAACGCGTTAGCCTTGTGTAATTGTGTGAAGCCAGCCCGCGTACTTCGTTCAGGGTTCCACCTGAACCCAGGCAAATGGGTTAATCGTATAAAAACTGTGGTTGAGGTAACAGTAGGTAAAGATCTTGGATGAACACAATTATGCTATTTCACGTCAATATATTGCAGTGGGGCCGAGGGAAGTTGCTGCTTCTTTTGGGAGGAGACTGTGTCCTCTGATTCATAACCCCCTCCTTCCCCGAGTTCATAGGGAGCTATTCTTATGTTGATATGGACAAAATTTTTAACTGCAGTCTATTTAGTTTTCTTAGAGCCTGGTTTCATATTCTTTAGATGAAAAGGCAGTGTTTCTTGATTCTTTTCTGTATTAGTTTCTCCTCAAAGGTTGTAGGATTATTTTTTCTTGCCTATTGGGGGCGTGTATGTATTAAAAGGACCCCTTTGTGTATAGGCCTGCTTTTGTAAGCCTGCTGTGAAATACCTCCCTATCTTTCTTGTAAATTTCTCTCCAAATTGGTTCCAGAGTAGTGTTTGTAAGTCTGATCTTTCCTTCATATAGATTGTGGTATAGTTTGTTTATTCTAATAACAAACATAATAAAACAATTCTTGTATGGCCCATCAGCTTAAATTTCTCTGAGTGTCTTTTGCTGTAGGTATGATAGATATAGAATTGTGTCCCAAATGCCTGCATGCCCAATACACATGGAGGCATTTCTCATTCTTCAGTTGGGGAAAACCAAAGTTAAACAACTCTCACGCTGTGGTTCTAGCATATTAAAATAAAAAGCAAGATGGGAAAATGCATGATTGATTTAGTGGCAAATTTTTTAGCTGGATATTTTTGCATACATGGCTGTTTAAATCTAATTACTCATTTTTTTGCTAGGGTATGTAAGATGAAGTTTGATCTAAAAAGAAGTCAGACCTTGGAGAAATACCACAGTATGGACAAGAGCTGATAATCTTAACTTCTTAAAGTGTTATACCCTAGCATTGTAAAAGTAAATATTAGTTCTAAAAGCTTGTTTTGGCAGTTTCATTAAGTCTTCATTGTATAAAATCTTGTTGGATACAAAAATGATGAAGCAATGTGCTGAGTTTGTAGCATTCCTTAGTCTGCCCTGCTTGTGTTGGCTAGAAGAATGTGAGCTGGTTATTCTGTATTTGATGGTGTAAACAAAATAATTATGCATGAGGTGATTGGCATGATAGATGGGCTACTTATTAGTGAACTGAACACGACTTGAGAGCCAGTGTGTTGTAGTGGTTAAGGTGTTGGAGTAGAAGTGGAGGGACCCAGGTTCTAGTCCACCCTCAGCCATGGAGGCTCACTGGGTGACTTTGGGCCAGTCTGTCTCATAGGATTGTTGTGGGGAAAAATAAGACGAAGGAGTACTGCCTTTAGCTTCTGTACAAAAAGATGAGATATAAATCTAATAAATATCTTGATTATATTGTAAAATATTAGAACTGGAATTTGAAATGAATTTAATAGCTAAGAGGGTAGGTTAAGAAAGACTTAAATCATTTGGAATAAGTAGCTAGATTGAAAACCTTTTTAGAAAATACTTCAGTTCTTTAAGCATAATGTGCATGAAGCCAGTACTAATCTATCTATCTATTTATATATATATTTATTGCAGGCCTTGAATAATCTGACATAAGTGGATTAGAGTGACTGAGAAACCAGAAAGTATTACCTTGGGCTGGCTAGGGTAAGGCAAAAGTGCCAGAGAAGTGACTTGAATATCAGACCAGGCCAAGTATGGATTGGCTGTGATTCCAGGTTAGTACTGAAGTTTCTGATTGGCAGTGCTTTTTCTTCCTTCAAAGCAGCAGTGATTCTATGAAATATCTCAGTTATTAATTGATTTTCAGGCAATGACTTGTTTAAGAAGTGCTTTTGACCCTTACCAGTTTGTATACAGCTATCACTGTTTATTTCTTGTGTGTATGGGGGGAATGATTTCCTATAGCAAAGCGTTTGTATGTAACAGATTGGGGGAGGAGGAATTTTCATAACTCCTGACCCTTAGCTGTGGCATCTGAAGTTGCTAAAAAAGTTAGAACAGCATCTGCTGTAAATGATAGTTTTATTTGCTACATCAGCAAGCCCTGTATGGCATAGGGCCTGGATATCTGAGATACCATTTGTCTCCAACTGTTTCTGCCTGCCCAGTACATTCCAGCAGAATGGGTATACTCCAGGTCCCCTCCATTAAACATTGCCATCTTGTGGGACCTAGGAAGTATGCCTTTTCTGTTGCTGCCCCCACCCTTTGGAACAGCATCCCCCCAGAGATAAGGATGGTGCCCTCTCTCCTGGGGTTCCTGAAAGCTTTGAAAACCTGGCTTTGGTCCTAGGCCTGGGGTTGATGTTTATTATTTGTTCAATGGCCCTTGTTTTGTTTATTTTTCCTTTCTATTAGATTATTTTAGTCTAGGCTGTCTATTTGATTCAGTGTTTTTAGCTGTTTTATGTTTTCCCTAGTTTTGTATGCTGCCCAGAATCCACTGGAGTTGGGCTGCCAATAAATTTAAATAAATAATAATAATCAAGGCTATCATTGTACATCAGTAATGTTTATATTTCTAAATTCTGTAGAAAACTGACTAGTATATAGTACATTTCTTACTACATTTCTATCTTGGCTATGGCAGATGAAACTTGACTAATGACATCAAGAAATTAGTGATGTGTCTTGAGTTTAAAATCCTGTATTTGTTTCATATCGATATTCTAAATATTGAGTACGTGATACTGAATTTTTCCTGCTGTTCTTGTTTGAAAATATTGGCCTATAGTTGCATTTGATTTTTTTAAAATAAGCTTCTTGAAAATAGTTAAATTTTTGAGGTTTTGCCATTGGCTTCTCTTGTTTTTATGTATTTGATCTTATTTTCTCTACTAGATTGACATACATATGCAGAACATTACAGCCAAGTGATAATGGTAGTTTGTTTTCCACACCCCATCTTTTTGCTAACATTTTCAGGAGTTGTGTTTGTTAATTCATTATGGGTGACCTCATGATACTTAACACATTATCTGAAAATCTACGTGTTAATAGTTTAAGAACATAACTACTTTGTTGGATCAGTTCAAGGTCAGTTATATAATGTGAATAGAGACAAGTCATATAACAATGGATAGAACTGTGTGAAAGTCATAAGTCACTTTTTGTTTATATGGCATTTGTTACACTTCCTCACTGGTTTCTGTTTTTACTGTTACGTGTAAAGCTGTCTTCCATAAAATGGACGTATTGGACATTATGAGAAGGGGTACTTTCTTTTGATACTACATGTCTTCCTCAAATTATATAGTGTAAAATATATATTTGTTACTTTGCAGTAGTATAATGTATGCTTAAATATTCAAAATGATTTTTATTCAGTTTTTATATGAATGCTAATAAGCAAGGGTAGAAGTTTAT